CAATAAGATTAAGCATCTAGGGTGCATTCAGTAGCCAATATACATAAAAAAGAACCTGATTCTAACCTACCTACCTGACAGTTGCCATGTGATGAAAGTTGAACTCCTTTGTCTCTTTTTCTTTTTATCTAGCAGTGACTATCATTTTTCCTAGCTAAGCTGTCTTTTTCCTATCCTTAAGTAAAAAAATCACTAAAGATTACGTTTTTGCTTTGACGACAGTATCTCTATGTACTCCAAGTTAGAAACTTTATATGTTTGTTAAAAAAAAACGTTTGCACACCTTTTGTATCATCAAATTGATTATGAAGCTTTCTTCTCTTGATTTGTTCTCCGATGTATATGACTTTAAGATGCTCACACTATGCAACTAAAAGTAAGGATAAAAAATGTTAAAACTTACAATAGGGTGAAAATTTAATCATGAATTTACTAATTTACCCACCTAATGCTTGAACTGCAGAAACCATGCTATTAAGATCAGGAAGGTACTGAGTCAACACAGTGGTGTGCTTGAAGTGAGAGCTGACAGTGGTCTGGTTTCAATACCTAGTTCCTTGACTGCAGCCACCCAAACTTTCTTCTCATGTTCATATCTACTTCATATGTCCCTCAATTCTTCAGATTGTTTCTCCATTGTTTGGTCTAAAAATAAACAAAATTAAGAATTTCTAACATCTATAACAAAATTGTTATTTATATCTGCAAATGAAAACAGGATAACAAAACGATAACATAACTCATTTAAAACTATATTGTTTTTCTGTATGCATTAAGTAAAAAAAACAATAATAATATAGAGAGACTAACCTAGAGTTGGTCTTCACATCTTTTAAGTTTGTCACTATATTCTCTCATATTAAGAAAATATTTATGAAGCTGCAAGAAAAAAGAAATTATACAACACGAATGCAAAAAAAAGAAAAATAAATTAATGGAAGCACCTTAATCAATTGGTCCTTGCGATTTGAAGTGAGCTTTTTAGCAGTTGCAAGTGCATCCTGTAATGAAAAACTTATGAAGGGTAAATTGTAATTTGGTGTAAAAGAAGAGATCGATCATACAGTTTACCAAGTAGAAACACAATGTTGACCAGATTTTTCGTTGAGGAGTTTTCTCAAGCAGTTGGTGTTCAAAACTTAAAAAGAACAATGAACAAAATGAATAAGATTTACAAACACTAAAACTATGAAATTGAAATACAAATGTTGGAATCAACCTGCTCCTACACTCTTCCCTGTCTTCCCTCGCCTTCCGTCTTGTAACGCCCGTAGATTAAGGTTAGTCAATTTAGAGACGATAAACGTCAAAAATGAATTTTTTATGGAAGATTATTTAGAAGGAGTAATCTTAACTAAGTTGTAGTATATGTTACAAGGATTCCGTACATATAAAGAACGTCGAAATCCGAGTTATAACGAAGAAGTTATGACCTGTCGAAGTTTCGCGACAGAACCGACACGACACAGCGCGACGTAAATAGTGAATTTACGATAGAGCGAGATTTGGCCTTAGCGATCTAAATGAAAGTCGTAGAATACGTTAAAGCGTGCATAAAAAGAACGTCCAAATCTGATTTCGTATGAGGAAGTTATGATTTTTCTAAGTTTCAGCTTAACAGTATGCAGCCCGAAACTCGAATTTGAGATCGAGTGATTTTTGGTCGAAGCAATCTAAACGAGAATCGAAGTTCTCGTTATTAGTAGTTCAATGATAAAAAGACAGACGAAAACGGACGTCAGATGAAGAAGTTATGAATTATAACGGAGTCTTCCTGTCCCGGCCTACTAAAAATAAATAATAAAAATAAAGTCAAAATTAACCGACGGAGTCTAAATGAAAGTTGTAGAGCGTAGTCTCACCTACGCGGGGATATAAAGAACGTCGAAAACGGAGTTCGTATGAGAAAAAGATATGAATTTTTGAAGTTTATTAAATAATTAAAATATTTAATTTAAATATAAAATCTGATAATATCCGAAGGGGAGAGTCATCGGACTTATCCGAGTTACGCCCAACGTAATTGGAGAATTACGCCCAACGTAATCCCAGTTTCAGCCCCTATAAATACCTTGCGAGGGCAGCCGAGTTTCTTTGCTAAATTCTCTTCTCTCTCTCCCGTTTTGCCTCGATTTTCGTGCAAGACATACCCCGAAGCCCCGGTATTACTCCCAAGCCCCGAAGCGAGTCCCGAAGCCCCGAAGATCCCGAGAAGTAAAATTCCCGAGCCGAAGCTCTGCTCGCGTGAAGCCCGGTTTTCAGAGAAAACATCCCGGTTTCGTCGGAAAAGATTATTCCAAGAGACGAGGCGTTGTCCGATCACCTTATGATCAAGTGGGTGTATAGTTACTTTCTTCTAACACATAAATATAAAGTATTAGCTATGAAATACGTGTTATGTGTTATATATTATTTTTCTATTTGAGATAGGCTTGGAATTGATGTTTTTATACGGGTGTTAAATGATTTAAACTGTGTTTGTATTTATATCTACAAAAATGTTGGGTAGAACATGGGTAGATGGAATAGTTAGTGACGATGCGACTTCGTGCCTATTGAGTAAAACCTTGGTGACGATGCGACTTCGTGCCTATTGAGTAAAACCTTGGTGACGATGCGACTTTGGGTTGATTGTTTGATGATTGAATAATAAATGTATTATTGTGGGTTGAAAACCCTATATGCTCACCAGGCTC